ACGCTGTGCGGTGAACTAGAGCCCAAAATACCATTGGAAAACATTGGATTCAGTTTTGATGCGTTCTGTTACTGCTCGGCATCTGCTCCGCACTTTGTGTGAACAAGTCCTAAACCAACGGGTACAGAGGGAAGAAACTGTCTTTGTTGTCAGTCCTTGCTTGCAGTCATGTTGCACTCTACACTGTTCAGTGTAGACTGCAGACAGGTCGGGTCTAGATCAGTGACGTGCGTTACCTCTTGCGAGGGGTGATGCTGCCTGAAGCCCCGCCCCCTGCCTGATGAAGCCCCGCCTCATCTGACAAAACCCCGCCCCAACCCATCCCCAAACTAGTGTAAAGTAGCAAGGGAGAAAACAGGGAGGAGCCTCCCTGTCCCTCACTTGCTCCTCTCTGCTGAGGCGCTCCGTCCATGACAGGTTACACAGTGGGGAGGATTTCCCTTCTGTGTAACCTATTAGATGACGATCTGAATGGAGATAAAGCTGTCAGCTTCAGACATGAAGCTGACAGCTTTTTCCTCCATAATTCTAGGTGAGGCTCTGCCTCCCCTGACCGCATGTCCCTGGTCTACATCCATTGCTTCTGAGGCACAGAATTGGAAGAAGCATGCAGCAAATACTAGTTGGAGAGGAATCTTAAAGAAGGACTCCAGAAATGTACAAAGTTAACCCTTGCAGTGGGGCTGTCCCCATTAATGCTTGTTCTAAGTCACAAACTCAAAATATTGAAGACCTTTCATCAGCACACAGCCAGGCAAATAGCACTCTCAGAAGATAAGGTCGGCAATGGCATTCCCCATATTGTACTCATGACAGATCTCCTCTAGTCATTTACAAGTACAGCAGCCCCGTTAAAGGCTGAACCACAAAGGCCGTTTTAATGCCAACTGATGTTAATCAATCTCAGTTGGTTTGAAGGAGTCAAACCTCTCGGTAGCCTGAGATTGGAATGGCCCGTGCAGTATAGCCCAGCATAGCCCCGAGGCCACAGGTTGCGCAACTTTTATACGCAGAGGCCGCTGGATTCTTTGGCTGTGAATTTTCTATTCAGCTTCAAAGTGTCTGCAGTGAGATGTATAAATCTTTTATAAGATAAACGATCGGCTGTTTTCTCTTTGCGCTTTGTCTTCCCTCCGGGCCGTTGATAAATGGATCTGACTTGAGAGAGACAGATACAGAGAGGAAACCGATTCCATAAACCGTTTACAATGTGGAATCCATCTCCAATCAATTTTGACTGGCCCGATCAGTTCTTGTCTGTAGCCTGTCATGGTTATATGTGCCGTAGAGGCAGCAAACATGTAAGCTTGGCCAATACTGCAACTTGACAGTTAAGTAAGAACAAAAGGAAATAGGAAATTATGTGTCTCTGGCTATTATGTCACAGTATAGATTTATTGTACATCTTAATATTGTACTTAAAAGTGCAACTACAGGCGTAGCAGTTTATACATCTGCTATGGGGCCCAAGGCCAATGGGGAGGGGGGAGGCCGTGGCTGACTATTTATAATGCTACTTTCAGGGACTCCAAGAGTTGTGTGGACCATGGAGTCAGAGCCGTAGCTAGCTCCTTTTGCGCCCGAGGCAACAGAAAATGGTGCCCCCTGACAGACGTGTGCAGTATGTGACGTCATGTGCCCCGCTTCCAGTAAGGAGTCTTTGCACATGTCACTTGTGTGTGGATGTTTTTGTTTTTTTTACTGTTGGGGGGGCTTTGGGGAATTATTAGGGATCTAAACAGACCCCTGATATTTCCCTTTTGAAATAGAAAAAGAGATTGAGGACACAGAGTCCTCTGCCCATACAGCGGGGGAGAGCAGCGTGGATCCGAGGAGAAGCTGGAGCCTGTGCCGCTCCTCTTCTCACTGCCGAGCCCCAGCTGTGTTTGCCGCCTGGCGCCCCTGTTGCCTATGGCGCCCTGTGCTCGCCATGGCAACAGGGGAGAGGGGGCGCAGCCAGGCCTGTCTTGGTTGCGCCCCCTCTCAGCTGTGCCTGAGGCGAGTGCCTCACACGCCCCATGGGAGCTACAGCCCTGCATGGAGTAATCTATTCTGATTACCTGGCTACAACTTGCCAGTGTTCAATTGCAGGGGCCATAGCATTTGTACAGGTGTACCCACCCACCTATAAACAGACCCCTGATATTTCCCTTATAAAATAGAAAAAGTGATCAGGGACCTAAAGCCATTCTCAATTTGGAGATAGTAAATATTTACTATCAACCCAGTCATGAATGGACAGGAAACCTCTATACTGAGCTACTTCCTGTTTATTCATGAACAGATAGTAAATATTCATAAATGAACAGAAAGTGATGTATGGCACTTCCTGTTCATTCATAACTGGGGACATAGTAAACACTCCTTAGTTATTTACAGAGTGATCAGTACTGATCGCTCAGTGGTTGGGCTCTGCTCTTAATTCTGACTGCTGCGCCCCCTCCTGCCTGTCAACGGTGCTGAGGTCTCCTCCCCACACAACCCTGCTCGTCCTCCTGACAGCTTCTCTCCTCCCTGCTGGGCGCCGGCAGCTGGACTGGCTCTGTGACCCCTCCGATCCCCGCAGCCTCTGCCGACAAAGGGGGGGGGCAGAGCAGCGGAGATCGGAGGAGACACAGACTGAAGCTTGCAGGCGGTGCCCAATGAGGAGGGGAGAAGCCGGGGATTCACCACATTTTTGCCCATTTTTGGCACTATTGGCAAAATAGTACCGCCCAGATCCTGGCAACTGGGCAGGATGCTGGACAAATGTTCTGTTCAACAGTTAAAGTGCGCCAACACCACCCCCGCCGCCCCCCAAATCAGGTGAAGAAAAGTGTAGGAATGCCCCTGCTTGCTCAGATGGCTCAAAAAAGATTAACAAGAGAGCTGAAATTCCTTTCCTGGAGAACATGCTGCTCCAGGCTCCCTCTGGTCATATGGCCAAAACCCAAGCCCTTTGGTCGCATGATTTCCTCAAAGGCGAAACACCATCCAGGCTGAACTCTTAATTCTCCATTTTAAAGTTTTTAGGCATTTGGTCATGTGATCAGCACTGGAAAGATCCCATACTTATGATTTCCAGAAGAAAGGAAATTATTTCAGCTCTTCCATTTCTCTTTAGTTATCCATTCCAGGAAGATTGTCAACAGAGCTTTACATTGAGAGTGTTAACATAATTCATCTGGAAAACTGGTTCTTCTTTTTCCTTGGTGTTCAGGGGCATTTGGCAATTTGCCAGATATATTTACATTCTAATTAAAGTCGCACAACATTTCTGAAAAAAAGAAATTGCTGTAATGATTTTGTTGGATTATCGAAGTTTATTTCACAAACTCGCTCGTTGTCGCTTTGTTTTCTTTTAGTAGCTTCCTGAAAAATGTGTGTATCTGAGGTCACATTGCTGGACACATATTCTCTCTAATGCCTTGCTGCACCAGAATAACAAGTTCTCGCATATTTCTCTTTAAATCGAACAAAGCACGATACTCTTTTTTTTAAAGTTGAGTAGTTGTTGTTATCTGTGGGATGGTGCTTAGAACCATTATTAGGAAAGATGAGAAGAACAATAGAGAAGATGAATCTGTTTCTCATCTGTAATTCCCTGGTGGTGATGGAATGAGGAGACAAACTGTACTTAAAAGATAAAGATGCCTCGGTAATGGAATAATACCCCTAGACGCTCACTGCAGAGGGCTGATATGCTCCCTGCTGAGCCAAAGCTAGAGCTCTCCAATCAACAGGGAGCATGAGGTGTTCTGATTGCAGAGCTGTATGCCTTGACTCATCAGGAGGGTGTCAGTGAGACCACTGCTTCCACACGAAGAGCAAGGGTCCTTCTCTGCAACATGCTGGCAGGACTAAGGCTTTTCTACTGTACTGTAGCTGCTTTCTATAGAAAACAAACTGTGCACACCCAGGAACTCAGCACAGAGATGGTGAGAATCCCTCTTTATGGGTATAGCAGGAGTGCATACCCAGGAACTCAGTGCAAAGAGGGTCGGAACCCCTCATAATGGGCACTGCGGGTGTGCAGATCTGAGAACTCAATGGAGGGATGGTGCAAACCCATCATAATGGGCACAGTGGGTGTGCAGACCAGGGAACTCAGTGCAGGGATGGTTGGAACCCCTCATAATGGGCATTGCAGGTGTGCAGACCCAGAAAATCATTACAGGGATGGTGGGAATCCCACTTAATGGGTACAGCAGGTGTACAGACCAAGGCACACAGCACAAGGATGGTGAGGAATTCCCTATAATGAGCACAGCAGGTGTACAGACTGAGGAAATCAGTGCAGGGATGGTTGGAGCTCCTCATAATGGGCACAGCAGGTGTACAAATCGAGAAACAGCGCAGGGATTAAGGCAACCCCTCTTGATGGGCACAGCAGGTGTGCAAACCCAGGAACTTAGTGCAGAGATGGTGGGAATCCCATATAATGGGCACAGCAGGTGTAAAAAACCAGGAATGTAGCACAGAGATGTAGGAACATCCTCATAATGGCCACATCAGGTGTTCAGACCCAGGAACTCAGCATAGGGATGTCGGGAGACCCTCACATTAGACACAACAGATGTGCAGACCCAGGAACTCAGCACAGGGATGTCGGGAGACCCTCACATTAGACACAACAGATGTGCAGACCCAGGAACTCAGCACAGAGATGTCGGGAGACCCTCACATTAGACACAACAGATGTGCAGACCCAGGAACTCAGCACAGAGATGTCGGGAGACCCTCACAATAGACACAACAGATGTGCAAACCCAGGAACTCAGCACAGAAGTTCCACTAATAGAATTCCACTAATCAGACTTTTGTAAACTTTCCGGCATGTACCAAACACTGGACAGTTAGCTGGTGGAATGCCTATTTAGTGTGTGTGACCATTATAAATTGTATTGTACTCAAAAAGGACAAGAAGCACCTGCACAGTATTACCACCTAATGGAGTTCAGCTCCAGCAAATATCTAACACAATGTAACAAATGTGAGATTACAAATATTCCTTTACTTACGCGATCCCTGCGCCCATCCAGAGGAGAAGGGCCAGCTTGGTTCCCGCATCCTGCTGTCACGCACTCTGATCGCTGGGGGTCTCCACTTTACATTGGTTGGTCTGTGGTGGACAGTGCTGGCTGGAGTCTGCAGGGATAAAAGCAGAGATCACAGTCAGTGTATGGGGACACAGTATAGAGCGATGGACTGTCAGTGTGTGCACAAAACCCAACCCCATCCTCCCGTGCTCCACCCTCAGCATGCCATTCATTATACCTTGACTCGGCCAGTGTTGTGTTTCTGGGTCTTTGTACTTGGATTGCACTCCGCGTGTACATTACATGCAATGTTTCTCATGCTGCGCTTTGTTCTATGTTTGATTAGATCAGGTTTCCGGGACCAAGATTTTGACAGTGCTGCGATTATTTTTTATTTTATACTCAATAGGATATTTAAACCCAAAAATAAAAATGTCATATATTGCAGCTTATCAGTCCTTAAATGTGGTGGCTGCATTCGTTTTCCTTTTTTTCAGCCTAAGTACAGAAAGATAAATCTTGATCCTGCTAGAAATCCAAAGTCCTGGATTGTAACTTCTTGAGCTGTGAAGGGAAATCTTAAGCAATGATGATTGGCTTTCGCAGCTATCTTCTTTGATCGACACCAGGGGTGGGCAACCTCGGCACTCCAGCTGTTGTGAAACTACTGCTGGGCGCCACCATCTTGGATGTGATGTCAGGAGACTCACATCTCAGACTGGTCGCTCAGGTGACACTCTATAGCACTCTATAGTCAGACTTCTGGCCCTCCAGCTGTGGTGAAACTACAAGTCCCATGAGGCATTGCAAGACTCTGATAGCCACAGGCATGACTCCTAGAGGCAGATGCATGATGGGACTTACCATAGTTCGCTTTCCAAGGTTGCCTACCCCTGATCTACAGAATACCTCCTCTCTATGTAATGGGGTGGGGGTGGGGGTAGGAGGTGTTTGTAGTACAAATCAGGAGACTAGCCTAGGGTGACAACACTGCTCTTCCATTGATAATGTGCGGTGAGTGAGTGTTGTCACCCTAGGACAGAAAGTCTGTTACTGCCGGGATCATCAGGAGAATATATAGGGGTAAAAAACCTGTAGCCACCTCAACTAGTAAACAGAAATATATTAATTTTTTGTTTTGGGCTCCTAGATGCACTTTCATTTTCTACTACAGTCCTCTGATTGTCTGTTTTTTCAGTCTGCTTTGAAATCCAATCAGACATTCTTATCCCATTTGATCTGGAAAAAACAGCGGTGCATGCATTGTGGTCATAAAATGATTTTGTCACAAATACTGATTTAAAGTGGAAATAAACTTTCATTGATATCTAATGCAGGGGCAGGCAACCACTCAAGCTGCTGTTGAACTTCAACTCCCATGAGGCATTGCAAGACTCTGACAGCCATAGGCATGACTCTCTCAGACAGACAGAACTAAAACTCCCATGAGGCATTGCAAGACTCTGACAGCCATAGGCATGACTCTCTCAGACAGATATTATGTAAGAATTACATTGGCTAATTTTTCATCTGAAAGGTTTATTTAAACTTTAAATGATAAGTAAATGAAATGTGAGATTGTAGTCCCCCCCGGGAGTGAGCTTGGATTGGTGACTACTATTGGTACACACACCGGGACCATGGGGAACAAAAGTAGTCACCCTCCAGAAGGAAGGACAGTGTCAGCACCAATTCAGAGATGATTTGAGGATCTACAGCCGAGTGATATACAAATAAGAGACATTTATGTTAATAGTTAAGGTACTTGAATACATTTTTAAGATTTAACTCTGGAGTTTAGTAAACTTTAAACTATAATATAATTCTAACAAACTGTTACGTCCCCGGCTACATGATGAAGACGGCTTTAGGGGTCAGCCTTTTGCTTCTGTGGGGCGCTGCTGTCACTTGTGTTGGAGGTGACAGGTTCTCTTTAAAGGAGAATTATGAGGTGAGTGCTTTTCACTCACCTCATAGTTCTAGCCGACCTGTGACAATGAGACGGTCACAGGTCGGCTCAGTAGATCGGGAGGTGAGCGAACACATACCGGCATTCACTCACCTCTCGATCCTGTCACGGCTCTCTGCCGTGACAGGGGAGGGGCTGGGTCCGCCCCTCCCCGCTCCGATCCGCCAGCGCTGACTGGCGGAACGAACGGGGGAGGGGGCGGGTACAGCTGGCTCTGCCTCTAGATAGGCAGAGCCAGCTGTCAGTCACGCAGCTGGGCGGATCCAGACATAATTGTCGGGATCCGCTTCAGCTGCAGCGTCTCAGTATACCATGAGCTACAGCTGGCGGTATACTGAGCCTAGGGTGATGGGAGGACGCTAGTTTGTGTCCTCCCGTTACCCTAAGGAGAACTATGGGGAAAAGCCTTAACCCCATAGTTCTCCTTTAAGATGTTATGTCATCGGCTTTTTGTGAAAGTCCTCAATCCCCACACAAGATGCTCTAATATAAAAATATGGCCCGCACCACAAATCTGGGATTATCGGATGACTGGCAGGCTGCAAGCAGATTGTGGCAGACCTCCGGTTTACCCGTTGTCTGCCAGCCTGCGGGTAGGATAGCCTGAGGATATTCATGAGATCGCCGGGCAGAACCCAAAATCCTTTCATAAATATGTAAAATGTAAATATGTGTCTGCTTTATGTTTATGAATGAAGAAAACAAAAATGTTCTCCAAAAATGTCCTTCTAGTCGACGGCAAGACACCGCACACAGTATCAGAGGGTCAGTGAAGGTCCTTCTGCAGCTCGCAGTCTGTAAGAATCAGGGCAGAGGGACGCAACGTGCGCTCAGTGGCAATTCTTATTCTGAGTGAACTTGTCCTTTATTGCTTTAATAGGTGGTCAATACATCTACTGTATGACTGCGAAGGCTTTCTGGGACTTGTAGTTCCTCTGTGAAATCTCAACTATTTCCCTGGACCTCATTAGTCAATTTATTGGCGTTGTAAAATAGGACAATGGGACGTTGCTTTAGGCTTTGCACCTATGAGTGATGGGTCTAGCACACATGTGGTTCTCTGCTTGTGTTGCTGTCCTGACAAGGGGACCCGCTGGTGTCCCAATAGACCAGCAGCTTCCGGCGCGGCCTATACACAGCAGTCACTGTGGTAGTGAGCCATTCACCCCAGTTTTTGGGGGAAGTCGTAAGGTAAGATTTTGACTACACAGTCCAAGGGCCATAATTTTGAGATGGGAGGCACATCCTCGCTGCCCCAGTTATAAGGCATTCATCTCAGGTAGAACAAAGCCATCCTGACAAGATTTATTCCTCTAATAAGAATGAATGAAATGGAGTGTTGGGTGCAGTTGGCACTAAATGGCTCCAGATGACGAGTGAAGCTCCTTTAAACTATTCTGGATCCGTACCTCATGCTAATAAAAGGCCTCTCATGACGCTGGATATTGAGGAACAGAGAAACCCGAAGGCTAAACCTAATCCTAACCCTGGCACTAAACGTAATCCTTTGTTTATCAACAAACACCATGTGATCCCCATGTCTGCTTTGTCATTGTGATCACATGACTTTGTTGATAAAGGGGTATGGCTAGTTTTAGGATTAGGCTAAGTGTTAGGTTTACTATTAGTGTTAGGATTAGGGTTAATATTAGGGTTAGTATAGAGTTAGGCTAAGTGTTAGGGTATGCATTAGGGTTAGTGTTAGGATAAAATTTAGGGATTTCCTTAAGGGTTAGTGATAGGATTAGAGTTAGTGTTAAGGTTAGGGCTATTTTAGGGTTAGAAAAAGTGTTAGAGTTAGCATTAGGGTTAGTGTTAGGATTAGGGTCAATGTCAAGGTTAGGCTTAGTGTTAGGGTTAGCATTAGGGTTAGTGGTAGTGTTAGGCTAAGTGTTTGGGTTAGCATTAGGGTGTTAGGATTAATGTTAAGGTTAGAGTTAGGCTAAGTGGTAGGGTTAGCATTAAAGTTAGTGTTTGGATAACATTTGGAGATTACCTTAGAGTTAGTGTTAAATAAAAGGTTATTTTAAGGTTAGGCTAAGTGTTAGGGTTAGCAGTAGGGTTACAACTAGGGTTAGCGCTAGGATTAGGTTTAGTGTTATGGTTAGGTTTAACTTAGAGTTAGGCTAAGTGTCATGGTAGGGTTAGTGTTAGGATCAGGGTTAGTGTTAAGGTTAGGCTAAGTGTTAGGGTTAGCAGTAGGATTAGTGTTGGGATTAGGGTTAGTATTAAGGTTGGGGTTAGGCCAAGTGTTAGGTTTAGCAGTAGGATTGGTGTTAGTATTAGGGTAGTGTTAAGGTTAGTTTAGGGCTAGGCTAAGTTTTAGGGTTAGCAGTAGGATTAGTGTTAGGATCAGGGTTAGTGTTAAGGTTAGGGTTAGACTAAGTGTTAGGGTTAGCAGTAGGATTAGTGTTAGGGTCAGGGTTAGTGTTAAGTTAGGGTTAGTTTAGGGTTAGGCTAAGTGTTCGGGTTAGGATGAGATTTACTGTTTGCCTATTGGTAAGTGTTAACATTAGAGTTAGTGAAGCCTTTGCTCCCCATAGCAGTGCTGATCAGTTACTCACATGGCTTTGTTAGAAGTTCATCGGTATTCACTAAGGAACATGGCCACATACACAAGCTCCCTCCCCTACAATGACACGATGTATCTCTCACTCGGCGTGAATGGAGTAAACCGAAGGCCGTTCCTCTCTACTTTCCTACTCGGGGAAATCTGGTCTCTGGAGATATAAACTGGTAGTGGCTTGCCAAGTACGGACCCAACACTGGAACATCTTGAAGGGGAATTCTAATCTCTGTAAATGTTGTAGATTATTATGTTAATGTGATTGCTTTAATGGTAAGGTAAACCCAGGATCTATTTTACGGCATGTTTGGCATCATGTACACAATTTTCCATAAGCAAATCATTTTTTGTGAATCCGTTGCCCAGTTTCATCCCTGGATCCCTGTATGTAAACCCAAACAAGGAACTTCTCTTATTTGCTGCCTTTTGGTCTATTAACTATGCCATTGAAAGCATTTCTCTATATCTGCTCGATAAGTGCAAAAACTACCTGTTGATCCTGCCAGAAATCCTGTGAGCTGTCTGCTCTGCACTCTTTTCATTGACAGTGTTCTCAGCTATCTCTGTGAACTGC